GGATGCAGAATAGCGATCTGCATTGCCTTCCTCACGAAGAGAGTTGTTTGTGTCATATGACCAAATTCAATGAATTGCCATGGAGGTAAGCATACCTCATTTTGCTCTCTTTATTTGTGCGATATAACTTTCCTTCCTGCTTAGCCAGACCCATAATTAGAAAGAAGAAAGTTAAATATAACTTATGTATTATTAATTATTGAGATCTATTTTAATAATTAATAAATAAAGCGAGGATAGAGATGTATATTATATTTTGGGACACTTCTTTTCTCTGTACGGTCTTCAATTATAATGTTCAAAAGATCTTTTTATTTTAAAAGAAAGGTGAAAAACTAAACATCATAGTAATTGAAGTCCCGGCCTCTTAAAACTTCCTCTTTGTCATTTTATAGTTTACAATATAAGAGTTTAGATAAAAAGTTCTCAAATTTAAAAATTTCTGATTTCTCCAGTTTAGTTAAAATTAATTTAGAATTAATTTATAAACTTTTAAATAAAAGTTCCTTTAATTTCTTTCAAATAATTCAAAATTAATTATGATTTAATTATTAAAGCAGAATTTCCCTTTGTTGTATATATTACCTTATTTTACGAATATACAACGTTTTTGTTTGAATATGTTATGTTTGATTATTTTTTGTGGTTTTGGAAAATAGACTGTGTGACAGGAAGAGCAAAGAGATAGTTCCAAAAGCTCCTCCTTACCATATTCTAGGCTTGCACCATCATTAGCTCGTCTTCCCACCACTGCACCACCTTCCTCATTGATGACAACAACAATCAGTATGTTTTAATAACCTTATACATATAAACATTACAATTGAAGTTCTATCAACCTTGAAGTTCTTACGATTGATTTGGTGTTCTATCTTCTGTTCTACAGTTTGTCCTGTTTGTTTGACCAATCCAAGAGACTCTGGCCTTCGGGTGTGGTCACATGTGAGTTATCATTATTCTATTATTATTATTATATTATTTTACAATATTTTAGAAAAACAAACTTGCAAGGATTGTGGATACAAGTTAACTAATTGACGTAAGTGTAATCTTATTTATTGTTGCAGGTGAAGATGCTCGAATATCTGTTTTGGAAATTTGTATCCAAAATGGCTATAGAGAGTAGTACTTGTTAGGGTAACAACTTGATTTGGTCCTTTTGCTTGCGGGAGTTAAACAAAAAGTTACATAAAACAGGTAGTAGAGACACATTATCATCAAGCTTGAAAAAGGTCTTCCACCCAATAATTATATGTGCAACATTTGCAGAGCTGTCAGCAATTGCTTTGGTTTCTTTCCAAGTCCTTTTTAATGTTATAGAGCAAACTGATTTTATGTTTTGCCCCAGGTCCCTACTGTTCTAGTTCAAAAACTATTTAATCAAATTTTTCAATACATCAATGTGGAACTCTTTAATAGGTAAACATGTCCTTTTTCATTCAATCCTTTTTACAGTAATGGACTAATTATAACTCTTTAATCTGATTTGAAATCTGATTGTAGTATTGATAGCTTCTTATTCTGGTTTGGGAAACTAACTTAGGAAAGAAATTCTGATGGACGTGAGGGCAGTAGCTTGTATGCAATCAGATTTTGTTTTCTGCTGGATCCATGCTTCAATGGTTTTAGTTTTTTTGGGTTGTGTTGTGTGACTTATATGTAGTGTTATCTGTGTTGATGAGTGAGCAGGGAAATGAATTGCGGTATGGTCCAGACAGAGTGAAATACTTGGGACCCTTTTCGGCTCAGACTCCCTCTTATTTGACTGGAGAATTCCCAGGGGACTATGGATGGGACACTGCTGGATTGTCTGCTGATCCTGAAGTAAATAATCTTGTATACTGATTACTTTGTTTCTTCATCTGTAGGTGGTTATATCTTTTTCAAAGATCATTCTCATCTCAATTCGACCAAGCACAGAAACTCTAGGAAAACTTCCTGGCACTAACTTTCTGGTAGACAAGACTGAAAATCTTCATCACCAGGTTAGTATGTCATATATATGCATCTGTTGGCACTAACTTTGTTTCTTTTGCTTTTCTTATTTTTATTTACTTTATTTTTAGGGTGTCACACACGTGATTTGCTGCACAGGAACAATAGCATTTCCTTAAAGCATTGATTTACTGCAGCATTTGATGTCATAACTAGAATGCAATAGAAGATTAGTTATCTGAAGATTCAAGAGTGGAAAATGTAAGCATAATACTGATGCCTTTTACTGAAAGTTGCCTAAAACATAATCTTCATCTACTCTTCATGCACTTATGGATATTTTTATTTTAATTTTTACTAAGTTTTTAAATTGAAGATTGGGTTGGAGTGAAGAATCTAGTATCTGCATTGCCTTCCTCCCTGAAGAGAGTTGTTCTTGTGTCATATGACCAAATTCAATGAATTGCCATGGAGGTAAGCATACCTCATTTTGCTCTTCTTTATTTTGTCGATATAACTTTCCTTCCTGCTTATGCCAGACCCAATAATTAGAAGAAGAAAAAGTAAAATATAACTTATGTTATTTATAATTATTGTAATCTATTTTAATAATTAATAAATAAAGCGAGGATTAGAGATGTATATTATATTTTGGGTACACTTTCTTTTCTCTGCTACGGTCTTCAATTATAATGTTCAAAAGATCTTTTTATTTTAAAAGAAAGTGCAAAACTAAACATCATAGTAATATTGAAGTCCGGGCCTTCTTAAAACTTCCTCTTTGTCATCTTTTATAGTTTACAATATAAGAGCTTAGATAAAAAGTTCTCAAATTTAATTAAATTTCTGATTTCTCCAGTTTAGTTAAAATTAATTTAGAAATATAATTATAAACTTTTAAAATAAAAGATTCCTTTAATTCTTTTCAAATAATTCAAATTAATTAATGATTTAATTATTAAAGCAGAATTTCCCTTTGTTGTATCATATTATACCTTATTTTACGAATATACAGTTTTTGTTTGAATATGTTATGTTTGATTATTTTTTGTGGTTTTGGAAAATAGACGTGTGACAGGAAGAGCAAAGAGAATAGTTCCAAAAGCTCCTCCTCTACCATATTCTAGGCTTGCACCATCATTAACTCGTCTTCCCACCACTGCACCACCTTCCTCCATTGATGACAACAACCAATCAGTATGTTTTAATAACCTTAAATACATAAACATTACAATTGAAGTTCTATCAACTTTGAAGTTCTTTACGATTGATTTGATGTTCTATCTTCTGTTCTACAGATTTGTCCTGTTTGTTTGACCAATCCAAGAGACTTGGCCTTCGGGTGTGGTCACATGATGAGTTATCATTATTCTTATTTATTATTATTATTATTATTTATACAATATTTTAGAAAAACAAACTTGCAAGGATTGTGGATACAAGTTAACTAATTGACGTCAGAGTGTAATCTTTATTTATTGTTGCAGGTAGAAGATGCTCGAATATCTGTTTTGTAAATTTAGTATCCAAAATGGCCTATAGATAATGTAGTACTTGTTAGGGTAACACTTTGATTTGGTCCTTTTGCTTGCGGGAGCTTAAAAAGTTAACATAAAACAGGTAGAAGACAAATTATTGAATTATAAACAATGTAATTCTTAATTTTTTAAGTTGGATTATAAACAATGTAATTTTCAATTTCTATGTATAATTGTTTTTAGATGATTAGATGTTTCAATAATACATTTTGAATTGAGGAATTATTTTATGTGTAATTATGTTATGTAAATATATTTAAGGACTTTGTTAGGTAAATATTACATTGAATAACTATTTAGATGTGTTAATAATAGAAACAATATTGATTATTTTTTTGGTTATTGATAATTTAGACTGTATTATGGAATAAAATTTTATACATGTTTAAATATGAGTAGTGGCACATACAAATTAAATATTCAAAAAAACGTCACTTTTATACCTGTTAAAACATAATAGGTATAAAAGTGAACTTCTTTTATACCTGTTGTGGAATCATTAGGTGCAAAAAGTTGGTTTTTCAACAACTACTTTTATGCCTGTTATATATTAAACTAGTGTAAAAAATGACACTTTTCACACCAGTTTCATAATCGGTGTGAAAAATCGAAAACTTTCTATACCCCTGACTTCAATACCTAATAGAAAATAAATATAAAAAATCTTTTTTAACAGTGAAAAACATTCTTTGCATTAATCTAAACCCGCAACTCACAAGAACCACAACATGTGACACATAAAGAAGACAGACATCTACTAGGAGATAAATCACCCATGACATTCCACCTGCCAAAAAAAAATCAATAAAAATGATTCTGACACCAGCGGGAGAATTACTCATCCGGTGGGAGAATTTTCTCCTATCCGACACTAGGAAAGGTGGCAAACATAACATTTTTTAATGTTAGTTGATGAGACATATGAGGGAAAATTGGTAAGTGTCCTCTTTTTTGTGTTTCGTTTGATTTTCCCTTTTTTTTAATTTGAAAACATTTTGTGGGTGAAGTGTTTTTCAATTTCTTCTTTTCATGTCCCCTCCTTCCCCCTCCTCCATCTTTAGTTTTACAATTGCTTTCGTGGTGGTGAGGTTGAAATGCCTTGATGGTTTAAGGAGTTTGGGGTCGTTTGGGGTTATTTTGTTAGGGTTGGGATGGGGCTTGATGAAGCATTGCATTATTTATGGAAAAGTGTTGGTTCTTGTGGTTTTTGTGGTTAAAGTATATTGTTAGTTTTTATGGTTAGGCCAGAGTGTGGACGTATGGGGAATGAAGAGGAGATGAGTGTGGTTATGTGTGGGAATCATGAGGGTGATGAAGGTGAAAAAAAAAATGTTTTTAAAAGATTGTGGTTATTGAATTATATTTTATTCCATGAATGTGGTGGATGAACATTGTTTTAGTTTTGAGACAAATGTAACTGTGTCCTATTTGTTTAGTACATGAATGTTATGATTTTTTGTTGAAAAAAATGTTGAATGTAAATTGGAACGATATTCACGATGAGATGACAAGTGATACAATGGAAGTTAGTTGTTATTAGTTACTCGATTTCTTTTACAAACTATTATCCTTTGAAATATGATGATATAACAAATTATACAAAGGAAGTTAGTTCTTATTGTTCCTCAATTTCTTTTGCAAATTATTGTCCTCTGAAATAGCTTTCCTTCAAATTAAAGCCACCCTTTTGAATTTTAAAAAACAAGTTAAGATTATTGAAGGCAAGTAAACTCTAATCTCATCTACTTCATAGAAAAAGTTGTAGTTGCCTTTCATATTCTATAATTTGATACTATCTGTTTATTTGTTCTACTTCATGACTTTTGGGCTAGTTGGGAAAGAGATGAGTAACATATACTATATATAATAGTATATATAATATAAGACATATTTGATGATTGATATGCACAGGAAAATTTTATGGAACTGGAGTTATAATTTGCAAGTTTGTCTCCTTGGTCTTTCTACTAATTTGTTCAATGCTCCTAATTTGCTATCAATTTTGAAGGAGGTAAATTCAATTTCTCAATTATTTGTAATTACCTCTGTTAGAATTATTGTATTTGTATTTAGATGTGAGTTGTGAGTGTGCTGTATGTGAGTGTGTGTGAGGTGTGTACCACTCACTTACTCCTATAAGTATAGGATTAAGTGAAGGGGTGTAATAAGTAAGAGAATCATTTCATTCAATACAATACCATTTTCACAACCTCATGATAATCAAAGCTTGTGCAGTGTCAAATAAAATAGCTTTTGGTAATCAAATGTTCCATTTTACCATCGCCTGACACTGGGAAAGTTAACGAAAATGAAGGCTAAACTTTAAAAATGCTACTCTGTGTCTTGGTGAAACTTGTAAGGAAAACAAAACACTTTTCCAAATGCTAGCAGAGTATTTAGGTTATTATTTAAGAAGTTAAAATTAAATCATGATACTTAAAAACCATTTAATTTTAGTCACTTACAATGATCACTTAAGTGCTGAAGATGAGGCTATACGATTTATGCACCTTATACCCTTAAGACAGGTATAAATGCACTTATTTCTTTTTGCATACCATATTTTCCTTCTATATATTTATGAATATAAAAATATCTTAAAAATTGACTTTTAAATTATGTAAAATGAAAATTTATGGAGTCCAACAATTTGTATTTTTATTTTTGGATCACAAAATTTGAAAGTTAATTTTTGATGAAAATCAAATAAATTATTTTTTAACTTATGAAATGTTTTTTTTTTGTTTTTGGATCATGCAATTTAAAAATTATTTTTCATATGAAAAAACCTTTCAAGTGTCTTTCAAATTCAAAAGACATTTTTTAATTTTTGAGTCATATAATTGAAAATTTTCTTCTAAGTTGTACCATCTAATTTTTTTTATGAAAAAATAATTTTTAAATTGTTCAATACAATTTTTTTCTTAATCCACATACAAATTAGGATAATAGCAAGAAAGCAGAAATGACAAGGTAATGTGCAAAAACGATGGCAACCAAATGCTCCAATCAAGCCCAATTACATATAAAGTATGGACTATGACTAGGGAGAAAAGGAGTACGGTGTTTCACCCTGCACCTCCGATTTTCAAAAATATCTCTGATTAATAAGATGATTATTTATTAATTTTATATTTATTGATAATTTTTGTGTTTGCATTGACTACACCTCCATTTTCCTCCTATCATGAAACATGCACTCCTACATCCCTATTTCATTTGTATTAAGAAACCCTACACCCGAGCACTTCATTTGAATTGCAGCTCTGATAATTTTTTCTCCTCTTGAATAGTTTTTCTATCCATTCCATTTGATTTATTTTGGTTGAGTTTTTTCCTTTCTAGCTCATGAATTGTTATCTCTGTGAGTATGGTCTTCAAAATTAAAGATATTTGAGGGTTGTTAGTGTTCCACTACAACTTGGGGTGGGGCGCTTAGGGTGCTCTTACTGGTTGCATTGGTCGGAGATTGGTTGTATTGCTGGTGGGAGGTTAGGACCTTATTTTTGTTAATCTTTTTGTATAATATAGTTATAGAAGACAACAAAAATGAATCGGATATGAAAATCTAAAAATGACATAAGAAACCTCGGATTTTCATATTCAATTCACGTTTTTTTCTTTCTAATGTTTAAATTATGTTCTTTATATATGAATTAGTTGTTATATTAGTTTATAATTATTTTTAATTTTATGTATGAGTTTATAATTAATTATAAAATTTTTAATCGATATAAATTAATATCTATGAATTTATTAAAATAAATAAAATTGTTTTTTAATAAAAATAAACTTAAGATGTGCTTATGGGAATGAAGATCCATTTCTACATATATCAGATGTGGATATTCGATGTTTTCATTTTTCGTATGTCAAAAATCGATTCATTTTTAATATAGATTTATTTCTATGAATTTATTAAAATTAATAAAACGAATTTAGATTAAAAAAAAACTTTACATTCACATATCAGATATGAAAATTTGATTATACATATATCCGATATCCATATTCGATGTTTTGATTTGGGATGTCAAAATACGAAGATGCGTTTGTTTTTCTTCTTTTATTTTTCATATTGCTTAATTAATTTTTGTAACACGATTTTCTTTCATATTGCTTTATTAAATATTATTTAACTAAGTTTGTTTTATACAAAAATTTTACTTCATTTTTATAATTATTAAATTTTTCTTTAAATGTTTAATTTTTATAATTTTTTAGATATAAAAATTGATATGATAATTTTAATATTTTTTTATATGGTTTTAAGTTTTTTATTTTTGTGTTTTTTTTAAAGTTGATTACATTGTTAATAAATTTATAAATGTATAATTTATTAGTTTATAATTTTATAATATAATTTTAAAATTTGTATTTATTGTATTAGTTTTTTATTTTGTTATAGGTGATAATAATCTAAATGAACGAATCTCGTTATAAGATGGATTCTGAAATAAATTCTACCATGCTATCAGAATTTTCATGCTTTATAAATAAGGTTGCTGAGGGAGATATGAAGAATCATTTCAAAACAAATAACTTAATTGAATGGGTAAGAGGGATTGCATATGATCTAGGATTTAACATACCAGCATAAGGATGTCTTACTAAAGTTTCTGCTAAATCGTAGTTGTGATATCAAATATCACTTGCAATACCCACTCATCCCCATTACCAGATGGCTTACCCTTTAACTTGAAAGGACAATTACATTTTCGGGTGTCATAGGTTGGGCATCGGGTTTGTATTTTTTATATTTTCCACCTTTTTCTCATCTTAGCAACACAAATATCTTCCTCTCAGGTTGACTGATAGCTTTATCGGATCTTATAATCACCACAACAAATCTTATAGATCATATGCAATCCCTCTTACTCATTCAATTAAGTTTTCATGAGAGGAAAAAATTTCATTTGTTGTAAAATTATTCATCAGATCTCTCTCAGCAATCTCATTTCTAAAGGACGAAAATTCTGATACCATGGTAGAATTTATTTCAGAATCTATTCAATAACGTTATTCGTTCATTTAGACTATAATCACCTATAACAAAGTAAAAAACTAATACAATAAATTCAAAATTTAAAATTATATTATAAAATCATAAAC